AAAGATTCTTGTAAGGCATATTTTGAAAACTTTATTTCGCATATAAAAGGTATACCCTGATTTTTTCGTCTCACAATTCCAATCTTTCTTCTAGCTGTCTTTTATCTTTTTCATTAACGTATGTTTCTCTTCTCAGGTAATTATCCATGATGCCGTGCGACCTTTGATTGACGAGGATATACTTGTCGCAGTCGCAAAAGCAGCCAATGAACATGGCGTAGGTTTCATCTGTTTCTTATTGTTTGGTGCTAGAGTTGAGACATATTTTTAAGAGTTTTTATTTGTTATTTGTTATTTGTTAAGAGTCTTTTTTTAACTAGGTTTTGGTATTTTGATTCTTTCGTCCTCTGGCGAATTCTTAAATTTCACCAGTTTTTCATTTCATCGTAGGCAAGTGGTGCTGTTCGCAAACTTGTTTCAACCATTTTAGTTAGCGACAAAAACGAAATGCTGGACCACTCCCTTGTTCGGTAAACATTTGTTTATTTTGCTTCCTGCCTTTACAATCGCCCATTCTCTTTTTTTTTTGAGCGTTGACCTTAACACCTGAAGCAAGCATTGTTTAGCTGTTATCTGAAGCAATCAAGGATCTAGAAAAAATGTAAAGCAAGGTTTTCAAACGCCTTAATGGAAGGGACCTAGTATAGTCTGGCCTTGTCCACTGAATGCCGTTATGAAGCCAAAATCATCGGTGTAGTAATTTCTCAGTATCAAGATAACATTCAAAAATTCGAAGCCCTGTAGGAGTCTTTACTTAGCCTAATCCTTCACATCGGTAGAACTTCAAGGCGTTGAAATATAAAAAGTAATTTGATTAAGTAATGTGTATTTGCTATGCTGAATTCCTTTACTCAATACATTTTATCAGCGCATTGCTAAATTAAAGAAATTTTCGCGATTACGCATCGAAATTGAAGAAAACGCTGTCTGACTACGAATATTTGTTTATTCTTGAAAATACCTTTGTAGTATAAAAACACAAGATGATTTTTAAAAAAAAAACAGCTTTGAAAGTCGAACAAATCCCTCGTCTTTTGAGTACCCACAGTTCAGTAAACGATAATTGTATTGTCCCTTCTTTTTTTGGACGTGTTTTGCAGCGGCAGAACGACATGTCATCAGAATCATGTGTAATATATCATAACTAATGCTGATTGGCTGGCGATTTGTAAGGTCTCCCCAGGCCTCGGAAACAGTAGAGTCTCAATCTATCATTTGCATTTAGGCACCAACCTAGTACCACTGGTTGTCTGATCGCCTATTTTACAAACTTGTATGACAATGCGATGACTCAGCAAATCAGACAGTTTCATATCCTTTTCTTGACTTATAGACCCTTTTTTAGTTTGATAGTTTGATACAATTGTATGATAGATTAAGGCAAGTCAGAATCCCTTATTTGTACATACCATATATATATAAAAAGATGAGTAAGGCATAAACTGGAACCATGTCATTTTCAGTCTTTTTCAAAATCAAATTCTTTAATTTTTTATATCTGCTTACGATAAACCTATGAAACACAATCTGAGTAAATTTCCTAAAATCCATTATCTCTTTCCTTTTAACTCTAAAAACTATTTTTTCTTGTAGATCAAAATGTAGAGCGAGTGAGATGCCACAAGCCTTCCAATATAATGTGATAAGTGAGGCCTACTTAAAGGTTGTGTCAATTTACTTTCATCAGCACATAAATCTTTTACTCAAACCTTCTCATTGTATTTTTTTGTGGTAGCATTATTTAGCAATTTGCATCTCCATTTGGTTTGTAAATGGTTTGAAATTAAAACTAATTTAAGTAGTTTTCATTTAGCTAGTCAGGTTAAATAAAAAAACGATAAGAACCCAAGTTGAAAGCAGATGCAATATGATTCTTAGTTTTTCAAATCGGGTAATAAATCAGACATATGTGTCAAAGATGTAATGAGTTGAAGGTGAAGATGTAGGAAGGTGTAGGAGCCTGAAAGAATAGAGGGTGAATGAATTTTAGAGGCAAGACATTGAGAAGCTTTGCTTATCGAGCAGTGTCCTGGTCCTTTCTCTCGATGTGACCTCACCGCGTCATGATTCCTACACCTGGAATAGACATACGACATAAGACATAAGACATAGGACATAAGACATAAGACATAAGACATAAGACATAAGACATAAGACATAAGACATAAGACATAAGACATACGACATAAGACATAAGACATAAGACATAAGACATAAGACATAAGACATAAGACATAGAATTTTGATTTCAACCAACAACAAGGAATAACAAAGGATTACAATCAACGATAAAGTAAACCTAATTAAAACCATTAAGTAAAGTTAATAAATAAAGTAAAGGAATAGCAAAAAACTGGCGACTCCCCTCACTCTGGGTGAAATATTGGTCATGTCAAGGACTAAAACCACAGGATCTGTAGTCCGTGACCCTAACCACTGAGCCATCCTTGCAAATTGTAAAGATTCATTGATCGCCCTCCCTCAAGCGAGTCTCCCCTCTAATAAGCGACCCCTTGAAATGACCAAGGTTCCAGGATGCTCATTTGAGGATTGAGGGATACATTTCCCCACTGTTGTTCTACAAAGCAATAAGAGCCAAATAAAGGGTGCTGGAAATAAAATTTGATTTCATAATCATTAATGTCGTGCTTCAGGTTTCGATTTTTATTATTGTTTTTCATGAATAATATTTTGCGTCTGTTTTTGATTTCTTACTGATTTTCAATATTTGTGACGATTGAGTATATTTATTGCAATTCAGAGCTCTGAAGATGACTTTGATAATGGTACCGAATGTTTGCACCTTGCTCTTGAATACACATGGGCAAAACCAAAATTGGTTGAAGGAACAACAGATTTATGGAAGGTTTGTCTTCCTTTCAAATGCATTCTATCATACGACTTTATCAACACTACACAGTCAACATTACCACCATTATCCACGGAGTGAATCGACGTCTTTAGAAAGTGTGAATCGATGTCTTTAGGAAGTATATCCCTTTGCTCATTGCCTACGTTTTTAAGGATGCTTTGTTTAGCGGCATGAGACAGTTTTTCCAGCAACATTGTCTCACAACATAATAGACTTGGAGCTGAAAAGAATCGAGGATGCCAAATTTCCTTTTTCCTGCTTGATTATTGGTAATTCGCCTCTCTTTTTTACATACTAATATTAGCATCATTTCCCTTGAATTGAAATTAGCAGCATGAATCAATACCTCTTGATACCTCTTAGTGCTCCAATCAAACAATTCTTAGAAATGTATTGCAATTTTTAAATGTGATGTAGGTAGAATTCGTTATACGTGCTACGAAACTTCACGATTAACTCAAAATGGAGATGCTGGTTTATATCTTAAAGCCCTTTCCCCTTTCCTATAGCAATTTAAATCTGAAATACGTTAGATCAAGAATCTGAAATAGGTATAACTACGATTTTTTTTTCTTTAGTGTTTTTAATGTTAGTTTGTATTCTATTACACACCCTCACCAATGATTTTTAAAAGTTCAATCAAATTAAAGCAAATTAAAACAAAGATTAAATCAAAGCCATGAATTAATAAAGATTCCAACATTGATAAGACTTTGTGATCAACAACTATTTAGGAAAATGAACAAAAAAATTCAGAAAGCGACATCAAGTATTATAAGAATTTCAGAATCCGATTAGCTCATGAATGGAAGGAAGTAGAACAAACTACTTTCAAAACTATTTTCGTATGAAATTATTAATTTCAAAAAGCAGTAGAATGAAACTAAATCGATGTTCTGACTTAAAAGCTATGATTCGTCAAATATAAATAGCATTGGAAGTAAGTATGCGAATACAGTCCCAAATGACAAATATAGTCAATTAATGCCAAGACAACCAACATCTCTACTCACTTACCTCACTACTCACTTCTTTTCTCTCTGTCATTTCTATAAAAGTTGAAAACCTAAGATAAATTTTAACATCTCTGAATTTGTAGGGCCTGAGCAAATTAATAAAAAGTCCTTAAACATCACATTTCTTCTCCTCCAGCTAAACTGGTCAACTAATCATTTTTTTGAAGGATTATTCCCAGATAATTTTCCGATTTGCGATCATTGATTTAGTAAATGTTACCGATTTTCAGTAGACATTAATTTAACTTTCAGGAAATCCAATTGATCGTGCATCGATTAGTATGCCTGAGGCTATTAGAAGCACCCTTGACAATAAAAAATCTGGGTTGCGTATTTATTCGCTTACAAAAAGCATTCGATACTGTCATATTCATGATCCTACGAGTCATGTATTCTACTGTTAAAACTTGGGTATCATTGGGTAAGAGCTACTACAATCTATTGGTTTCAGGCTTACGTAGCAGGTAGAAATTAGTATGTTTCGATAAATCTTTTGACTACACTAAACCCACACTTAAATCTCTACCACTATTATAATCACTGCGTAGAATAATCTTTTGTCAATTAATCTACGCTTTTTTCTGTTCGAAATCAACTGTGGCGTGTTTTAGGGATCTGTCCCCAGACACATCCCTTTATTTGATCCATAAATGACTTACCTAGTGTTTCGATGAAGCCAAAATTCTATCTTTTTGCTTGTGACACAAATATTTACGAATCTTAAGAAATTTGAAGAGCTTAAAGAGCTCAAAGTTTGATAAAGCATTGAAATGTGTAATAAGATTGCATGAGGCGAATTGACTCTCGCGTGATTAACTATTCTCCTCAAGCGTGGTCCTCAAAACGTCTTTAATTTATATATTAATGATTTATTTCTAATGGTAACTGATACTGCAGTATGTAACTTTGCTGATGATACTACGATTTTTGCAGCTGACTGTCAATTAGATAAAGTTTTAGAACGGCTAGAAACTGATGCTCTTATTTTATCAAAATGGTTTCCAGAAAACTTTATGAAATTGAATGCAGGGAAATGTCATCTTCTTACTTTTGGAACAAATCAAGATGACTTTAAGATCAAAATCGGTGAGGCCATTGTTGAAGAAAGCTCTGAAGAAAAACTGCTAGGGGTGATAATAGATAAAAATCTTAATTTCAAAAGTCACGTCTCAAATTTATGCAAAAGAGCCAGCCAAAAACTGCATGCTCTTGCTAGATTTACGCCATTTATGGGTTCTGATAAACTGCGTCTCCTAATGAACAGCTTCATAAAAGCTCAGTTTAGTTACTGCCCCCTAATTTGGATGTTCCATGACAGATGTCTGAATGCTAAAGTAAATAAAATCCACGAAAGAGCACTCAGAATTGTTTATAAAGACAGTGATGCTGACTACGAAGCATTGCTGACTTTGGATAATGCAGTATCAATTCACCAACGCAATCTACAGTACTTGATGATAGAAATATACAAAACCAAACATAACCTGAACCCTAGTTTCATGAGTGAGATTTTTGAAACAAGAAATGTACATTATGATTTGCGAACTAAAAATAATCTTTGCATTCCAAAAGCCATGACAACTTCTTATGGTATAGAAACTGTGAGATATTTAGGTCAAAAACTGTGGCAAACACTACCTCACAGTATAAGAGAGTCCCAATCATTGGCAACATTTAAAAAAGAATTAAGAGCACACCCTATAGAATGCGACTGTAGATTGTGTAAAAAATTTATTGCTGGGTTAGGTTTTATTTAGAACATTATACCTTAAACCTTTTTAATATTGTATC